AAAATAAAAAATAAATAAAAATAAAAATAAAAAAGTAATAAAAATAAAATATTATAAAAAAAAAACTTGAAGTGAAAAGAATTCATTGCTCTGTTCATGTACTTTTCTTTATTTCTTTATAGAAAGGTTGAATTAAAAATATGTTTATTAATAAATAAAAATAAAAATAAAAAAGTAATAAAAATAAAATATTAAAATAAAAAAACTTGAAGTGAAAAGAATTCATTGCTCTGTTCATGTACTTTTCTTTATTTCTTTATAGAAAGGTTGAATTAAAAAATATATGTTTATTAGCCATTTGTGTTTCCTATTTGGGGAGTTTTCCCCCTTGTTTGGGGCTTTAATAATGAACATACACATTTTTTAAGGCCACTCTGGAAATATATACTGATTATGGACTTGGTTGTTAGGCTCTTGATTTAGATATATTTATTCTGTGATTTCTTCAGAGCAACATTTTTTACCTGCTCTGAGGCAAAGTGTATAGGGAAAGATTTGAGTCTGAAGAAATTCCCTTAGTAATTAATACTCAACCAGATTTTCCTCCCTTGCCAGAAGCAAGATGGAATGTCTCAAGGAGAGGATTTCTAAACATAAAATGCAATGAGATTTTTAACAAAGTATTTTAAATGGAATGGAGGCAGAAACGAAAACATCTTGATGGAGTTAGAAAGTATCTACACATTTATGAAGAAACAAAGCGGGCAGATGACATTGTTCAAAATCCAAGAATTAGAGCAATAAATCCATGTACCATAACGATATAAACACAAATGTCCCGAAATGATCAAATCTGTCTCATGGTAACTTGTGGTTTTGAAAACATTTCTTACTTGTTCATTTTCCTTATTTCAGAAGCAGGGTGACACTGAGAAATATCAAGTTCAATAGTCAACACTGAAAGTCAAGTAAGCATTTCAGCCTCCTCCTTCATGTAGTGTTATCAATTATCCATTTTCGTGATAAAAATTTTTTAATACTGACAAATTTTCAAGAGACAAGACTAAATTCTGTACTGGAATTCCTCAAGCTTGAGCTCTAGCCAGAAGTGAAATTTTGTTTTGGAAAATCTGAGGAAATAAGCTCAGTTAATTTTGAAAAGTGGAAAGAAGGATCCTGACATACCACTCACTTCTTCAGACATATTATTTAACCTAGCACATTCCTCACAGCAGCTGCTCCAAATCTTCTCCACTTTCCCCAAACCCTCCTAGGCTGTGGAAGACAGAGGCTGGATGACTTTGCTCATTCAAGTTCCTCCACATCTCCAAACACTCCCATCTCTACTCCTACTCAATTATACAGTAAGTTCTTCTAAGGGCACTTGGCTTTCTTGCCATTATATTCCCTTTGTTGTAGCACAAAGCAGTGTCTAGTTCACAGGCATGGGTCAATAATTAAGATTTTTTTTACATAAAAAGGGCAAAATCAACTAAACAACATGGACTTCAGATTTTATCTGCGGTCAGAACCTGCCTGAAGCCTCTTGACTTGGAAAAAATGAACTGAGAAAGATCACAGCAGAGTGCTTCACACAGGGCTAGGTTGGCATCTGGTTCTACTGTTCCTTAACTGGGTGATCTTGGACAAGTTGTTGAACTTCTCAATGTCCCATCCCACTATTTTTCAGATACTTTGTTTATTAAAATGAAAATAATAACAATTCCTGCCTCATAAAGCTTATAGTAAGATTAAATGAGCAAGTACTGAAAATGGAAGCTTGGTAAACTGTTTTCCTAATCTCTTTAT